ACGAGCCACGTGGACCCACCGCCGGCTCATGGTGATTTGATTGACCAGAAGAACAAAGAACCGTCGAACCAAAACCAGATCCAAGTTTAACCAAATGGGCTGGTGGCTGATTAGGGTTATTAATTTTATGGTAATGATTTAATTTAATAACGCCATGTTGATTGCATGGTACGCACGCTACGTACCCTAACGTCTTTGTACTCTTTTTTTTTTGTTGGGCTTCTTGTGTTTAGATATGTTGTATTTTCTTTGTCTCATCATTTCCCTTTCGAAGTGTCTCGAAAATGTTTAATGTTAAATAAATGAAATTCTTTTTCATCTTTAGAAAACATAAAATGCTCTTGTATTTTGTATTTCCTTTTTTTCCCATTTTCTTATATATTTAAGATAGACAGTTTGAGAACATAAAATAAAGAAGCATATACGAATTTCACAGCAATTTCAATAATTTTTTAAAACACTTATTGGATCTTTTTTTAACGATGAAATTAGAATTGAATTGAATCTGCACAACGATTAAAATTGGACCGTCATGCAACCACGTTCGTTCATGCATTGTGCCGAGGCAAAAGCCACACGTAGTGTTCTTTTAGTAAAATCTCCTAATCCCATAAGAAATTTAATTTAATAAAAACCCAAAACCCAAATATAAAACATAACAATATACGTGGAATTTAGGGGTGGCCATTTCGGTTATTAACCGAATAATCGAACCGAACCAAACCGAATAAGGGCGGTTCGGTTCGGTTCGGTTATTTGCTTAATAACCGAACGGTTGGAGGAAGTTGAATAACCGTTCGGGTTCGGTTCGGTTTCGGTAACCGAATAACCGCGGTTAACCGAACGGTTATTAAGTTTTTTTAATATTTTCATTTTTACCCTCATTATTATTAGTATTATTTTTTTATACTTCACTTTTAACCTTATATATTTCACCCAATAAACCATAAAATGTAATGTTTTTAATTTTTATCCTAATTATTGAAGTTTTTAGATTTTTTTATAATTTTATTACAAGATTAATCATTTTGTGCATTTATTTGAATAGATATTTTGAAGTTTATGTAGGATTAATAAATTTTTTTTCAAAATATATCATAACCGAATCGAACCGATCTAAAACCGAACCGAATAAACCGGAGAATATAACCGTTTGGTTATAATTTTATTATGCAAAAATCGAACCGAACCGAACCGAAACCGAACTTAACCGAACCGATTAAATCTATATAACCGTTTGGGTATGATTTTTTTATAACCGAAATAACTGAACCCGAAATAACCGAATCGAAAACCGAACCGAAACTCGAAATGGCCACCCCTAGTGGAATTAGCTCTCCATAATTCTGAATATAGATGCATTCTTATTCTTCCATATTCTGCAAACGATATTTCATATGTTTTTTTATTAGAAAAAAAAAATATGTTTTTCTTCACATACGTCATATATATGTTTCATATTCGGAGGCTTTAGCAAGCGGCCAATATTACAGAACAACACATAATTAATATCTGTAGGGAACAAAAACATGTTTTATCGTCTCCTGTCCACGCAGTTTGCGCTAGTAGGTGTGAGCATTTCGGTTTAGGAATTTAAACCGAATAACATTTGGCTCTAATTTGATACATTTTCTATATAATCAAATATTTACACATAATTTGGTGAAACATTCGGATTTTAGTTCGGTATTTATGGGGTTCGATTCGGTATTTATATGGTTATATAGAAAATGTACCAAATTAGAATCAAATAAATTATTTCTGAACCGAACCATATAAAAATCGAATTGAACCTCATAAATACCGAACAAAAATCCAAAATTTTCACCAAATTACGTGTAAATATTATGTTTCAATACTTATTTGGTATTCCTATAACAATACCATTACCAGCCAAACCGACACTAAAATCGAACCGTTTAACATTTGCTTCTAGTTCGGTACAATTTTTATAAACTGAAAAACCCATTTCTGAACCGAAATATTTGAATACCGAACTGAAGACTGAAGACTGAAACGTACATCCCTAGAAAATAGTCTGTACAGTGAAGAAATAAACGATTTATTGTACTCATTCACCAGCTCATCTGCTGTCATATTCGAATATATAGCATGTCGGTCTCCGGTTGAATATCTCAGAGAAAACCGAACCGAACCGAATGGAGAGTGTCCATCCATGCCGGTTTATTATCCACGTAGGAATAACATACATAGTAATTAATATAAGTGATTGATTGAATTTTTGTACCAACTAAAATCTGATGTTAATCAATATAAGGTTGTTGAACAGTAGAAAATTAATTTCATAGAGACCTTTAATGTGTTATTAGGAATGCAGTTTAAATTAATAACGAGCTACTGGTTGTTAAATAACCCTTAATATCATACACACGTATATATAATCAAAATAAAACTAATAACAAATATTCTTCTAAGAAAAATAGTTTATATTTTCTATGGAAATGGACAAGAAGAAAATATGAAGAAATGGTAGTGTTCATCTAACCATTATTAATTTTCTGAAATAATTTCTACTAAATCTGGCTAAATGTAGAATAATTAAAACAATTATTAGCTTATTATGAAATATCCGCAAAACTTTTTTTTTTTTGAAAAAGCAGAGTAGATTATATAAAAATAAAATAAAAAATAAGAATAAATAAATAATTATATTACATCTAATTAATAGGGGAAAATCTCCCATAAATGTCTCAATTTTCCGAAATATGCCAAATAAGTATTTAGACTTTTAATTTATCTAATCAATACCTCTAAGATTAAAATGTTCTAAATTAATACCGTAACTTATAAAATTAAAGACAGTTCATAACTTTAAATCATAAAATCGAAGGAATTATTGAAGTTTTTTTGACAAAATATTGCGAATATTATAATAGCATGACTCATATTCTTAAAAAATATTGTACACCGCTTTTTATAATTTATTCATAAATCATATAAAAAAATTTAAAATTGACATCGATTTCATGAATCTGAATATCAATTTGAAACATTTTAACATTTGATTTATCAAATTAAAATATTTTAATATTTATGGTATCAATTATATCAAATAAAAAATTTAGGTACTTATATTTGATTTTTCTATTAATACTAAAATTTTAATTTTCAGTCTCATTATAATTATAACGATATGAACATATTATTTACCCATACAGGAGACACGCATGCCACATGCCACATGCCATCGGCACATTTTTTTTTTGGTTGGAAGCCATCCGCACATATATGTGAATTTAAAAAGGAATATAAATATATATATAACTTTCATTTAGCTCGTGAAGAGACGTAAGCAAGGTTATATATTATCTGAAGGGTTAAATTAAAAAAAAAATCTATTTTTTATTTTATTTTAATTGCTGTGAATTTAAAAAGGATATCACATGGGTTTCCAAAGAGCACAATGAACAAATGGTCTCCCACACAAAAGGCTTTTGGACACATCTCTCAGATATGTTTTCTTTGCCGATGATATTCAGATTCATTTTGTCTGATGAAATGAACCTTAGATTTTTCTATTCATCGTTATATATATATATATATATATATTCACTTTGTTGATTAGTAACTTATTTTTATTCACATAGATTCGTTTGGACGGTGTCTCCATCTTCTTCCCAATGGATTCCACACAAGATTTTTTTTGTTTTTTCTAAATCAAATCATAATATTTTTTTTTATAATTCGAAAATTTACTAAACTTTCAATCTAACTACATCTTTAAGAGGGTTGGAGAAGCCATGTGAATATTATTAACTAAGTGTTCCCATGATGATAATACCAAATTCTTAAGGGCTTGCAAAGTGTTCATTTGATGAAATCATTTGACTCTTTGACGCTAGACGTTATCAAGATTTATTTTATTTTATTTAATATTTACCTTTTGTATATTTCAAAGTGTTAAATATAAGCACCCTTTATGTAATCTGTCAATTTTTGTCACCACCATACATTGCGACTGGAACTGAGCTAATGAAATAATGCAGAATTCTCTTTTTATTTTATTTTGTTCTTAAATTTTTTTAATAAATTGTAGGTAACTTTTAGAAATCTTGATTTAGTCTTAATTAACTCAAATAGCAACAAATTTATTATAATGTATTAACGACAAAAAATAAGAATTAGAAATTTTTATATGGTTTCTAATTAGTAAATATAAAGCAAGCTAAAGGAATTATTCATTTTAAAAAATATTTTAAAACTTAATTTAGTCGAATTAGTTTTTAATAATTTAATAGTTTTAATTTCTTTTTTTATAAGAAGTTTTTGTTTTTTATTATTTTTATTTTTTATTTCGAAGTATTAATTATAAAGACATAGTAGATATCTCTAGACTCTCCCTATCTTCTATTAACTGTTTTTCTAATATATATATATCCAAAAAATAATAATTTTTGGAGGATACTTTTTAAGAAAACTACATTGTCGTTTAAGAGAGGATAGTTCCGTGAACCAAAACTTTAGAACTAAACCACTTAATGGAAAAAGGAAAATAAATTACTAAGATTCATTATTCTATTATTATCAACAACAAAGATTCATTTTTATTTTGAATTTTCAATTTTCAATTTAATTAATCTACCTTTTAGGGTATTTGTTTTTCCTTTTTTTTTTTGTTTGGGCACTCAACCTTTTTGGAAGTTAGGAACATACATGTGTTAGCGTAAAACAATAGGAATATACATATATACGTGAAAGATTTAATCGCCAATAATTTTTCTATATACACATCAACGTCATGTATATATATAAGCTGTTATAGTTTATGATAGGATTAAAAGTAATTCTAATTAGTTACTCATGCGAGATTACATTAATGCTTAATAATATATTGATTAAACTTCTAGTTATCTTTCACCAACATTCTTTTCAATGTATCTCACAAAAAGAGGAATATATATATATATATATATACACACACTTTTGACCTTTAATCAAATGAAGAAAAATGAGTAAAGTTTACATATTCATAATAAATACTACTTTCAAGCAAATTATATAAACCCGACGGTTTTAATAATCAATATATTAGTACTATATTAATTCTATAAACTTAAAAAATGAACTCAATAAACATAACTAGAGGTTGCTCTTTTAACAACTATAAATTCTATAAACTATCTTAATCTTCAAATTCTCCGACCATTTGTTTATTATATAATATATGGATTCCATATCTCTATGACAACACGTTGGATTTGCCTTAGAAGAGAGAGTTAAAAAAAAATACTAAACAGGGATAAGACCAGAGCCGTCTCATAAAATTTTGGGGCCCCGTACATATCATACTTTTAAATTATTAAAATATATTAATTTATATATTAAATAATAATAATATTTAAATATAATTAAAATAGTTTTTTTGTTGAGACTCCATACACATAATTATTAAAAATTACATTTAATAATATATATTATTAATAATTTTTAAAATAATTGAGGCCCTATATTTTTTGGGGCCCTGTTCGATCGCACCTTTTGCACGTGCTATTAGACGGCTCTGATTAGTACTTAATTATTACAATATATATATATATATATATATATATATATATTATATAAGGCCTTTATATATAATGTATCAGGTTTCTAAAATTTAGTCGTCCCTTCGAAACTTCGGCGACCTAAAGCGGTTTGGAGGATTAGAGTAAGCTATTATTGTACTTTTGAAATTTATGAAAATATCTTCCATAACCTATGAATTAAATTAAACTAAATATGGTTTTAATTAAGAGGGAGCGCAATTGCTCTCTGACAGGTACAAAAAAGAAAAGGGGGAATCTCCTGTTTAGGTAAACAGAACATTCTCTCACTGTTTGAGATGGAATCTCAGCCGTTGGATCTGTTCCTTTCTGTACGTAGAGGGCAAAGATTCTGAGGTATTTCAGTGACATCGAATGCGATTACACATCATAAAGTTGTAAAAAAAAAATAACAAATATGAAATTAATACAAGTTTTTTTTTTTTTTACCTTCATCGATATATACATTATGTCATCATATGGAGACACCCATAGAGATAGTGTAGGGTGAACAGTTTGATTCCTTCTGTCTCCTTTCAATTACTTAATTTTTTTTTATCTTATTATTGTTTTTGGTATACGAAATTAACCATGTATTAGTGTAATGATGCTTAATCATTAAGTCAAGTTGTGTATATATATTTTTTCGTATATTTACTTTTGGATGAATGAATATATACATTAATATTGTACGAGGATCTATCATAATTTAGAGATGAAAATTACAGATATTACTTCCGTTTTAATTTTGTTATTTTTTTAATTTTGAAAAAAATATATAATTCAGTTTTATGTCGAATTTTGTTACGAAATTGATTTGTATTACAAAACATTCATTTGAAAAATGGTTATGGTTTGTTTTCATAGAATTTGATTAATTTGGTTAGAAAAAAATTTATATTCAACACTCAATATTTTTAGTTACAACTCGAAATTACAGTTTGAAATGGTGTTGATTCAATTTTGATTTTCAATTTACAAACTGAAATATTCAACCGACACAATGAAAAAACAGGATGTTTTATGTAGGTTTTGTTTTTTGTTTGATTTTTATTTTATTTTTTGGTTTGAGATGTTTTATATATGTTGTTAATTCATGAGTGTACCTTTTTATGAGGGAAAATAGATTCGGTTGGTATTTCTCAAACACACAAGAGAGGTACATTACCAAGGAAGGGACAAAAGAATACGCTTTTATATATATATATATATATTATATATATATATATATATATATTTAGTTTCGACGGAATCTGTAATCATTCTTTCAATACATATGCATATATAGATTAAACTCGGGGGTGAAATTTTGCATCTAATGAATATATACTTATATGTATATGTGTATATGTATATGTATGCATGTATGAATGTGTATATGCATGCGCGCACCCTTGTCCTTGATAATGCCTTGTTATAGTACATGATGAAAGTTTTCATTTCAAATTATAACATTTTATATGGATCGCATACCAAAGCTTCTATTCGAAGGTGGAAAAATAGAACTATCTTCTTTTTTTTTTTAATGCAATGGGAACTATCTTCTTACTTTTTCATATAAATCTTATTTAAATTCATAAAAAATATACGACAAAAAGTACACATTATATATATATATATAAATATATCTAGGTAGAAAAAAATAAAGATTGTGACAAGAAAAAGAATCAAGATTCCTTTCCATTTGATTTCATAAAACTAATTTATTCTCTCTCTTTTTTTGGGTTTTTTTTTTGGTGGTCAACCGACTAATATTTCATTTTTATACAAAGGCAAAAAAAAAAAAAAAAAAAACTCATAACAAACAGATATAATAAAAAGAGTGAGCAAATTCAGCCACAATCCTCATGACGTAGGAACTCCATGCTCGAAAACCCAACTAACCTCTTCAAAAAAAAAATGCAATAATTTATTAAAGTTTTGATTTTTTTTTTGTATTTAATTTAATTTGGTAGAGGTGATTAATTAATTACTCCAAACTACATTGATAAAAGGCATCATCACAAGAGATCAACAATTCAAAAGCCACTTTGATTTAACGGAGTCGATAAGCTTAATACTGATCAAGGGGAAATGTTGGGCGACAACTTTTACAATTGCTTCATTCATGTATTCCTTGCAATGGTTATATGAACGAGATAGGTCAAAGAATAGTAACATATGCTAAAACACATGGTTTTGTTTGGTTTTTGGAAAATTAGTACAACTTGCTCTCTCTCTCTCTCTAAATAAACCCTAGAAACCCTAACAAGCTAGAGAGAAGAACAACAAAAGTTACAGGAATGAGTTGTAAACCTTAACACCCACTTGGTGGGTGACACATCAGAAAGGCCAAAGAGTAGGTCCATGGAATGTACCGGAATGGTACTTGAAAGGTTTTTAAGGTTTTGTTGCACTTAAATGTTAGATATACATACGTACCCACCAAAATTTGGGATAAATGCGGGTCTCGTTAGGGTTTTATAATCGGTTTAACCAATCCAATTCATGCAACAAAAAAAAAAAATGTATTAAATTCCGTACAAGACCTCCTGTTACATGCACAATACAAACCCGAAACAATGAATTCATATCATTTTTATGATGCGGATATGAATTTAAATTAAGAAAATAACATATATGCTTTAAGGAAAGTTTCTTTTTCCTCGGTTATACATATTTACACATATATATATATATATACAGACACCATTTATTCATATGCGTATGAAATTAAACTTATCTGAAAAACAGAACTTTTAGGAGATATAAACTTAACAACTGTAAAGTAGAGATAATGCTGTTTGATCCTCTTTTCCACTATCTACATCCCATTGTGTTTTAAACTCTCTGGTACATTTTTTTTTGGTGGTTACACATTGCAACTTGACATATAACTTTTCCTCACCTATATAAATGGACTCACCTTCATAATCACCTTGCATCAAACTTGAGAAAAAAAATCATTATGAGCGTGTAGAGATATTGAGTTTTAGACCACTCCAATATCACATTTTAACTTCTCTTTCGTATAGAGAAAGAGAGGTAGAGTTTCCTAAGTTAACATTTCATTAATTAGAGAGAGAGAGAGAGAGAAAGAGAGAGAGAGAATGGCAATCCCAATCGCCACCTTGATCAACGTCTTTGGCATTCTAGGTATATATTATATGCCAATGTTTTTATATACATGTCTCTTACTTGTTCATGCTTCTTGTTCTTATGTTCATGTCACATGCATGCGCATATATTGCGAACAATGATGGTCGTGAGACTTAATGTGATTTCGTGTAATGACGCTTTGTAGGCGACGCCATCTCGTTTCTGGTCTGCCTTGCTCCTTTGTAAGTCATAAACCCTCCATTTCTCTCTCTATCCCTCTCCCTCTCTCTCTCTCTAATTCTCTATTATACGTAATTTGATCATATGCATGTATTGGTATACGTAGACCGACGTTCTATCGTATATACAAGAGGAAATCGGCTGAAGGGTATCAATCCATTCCTTATGTGATTGCACTCTTGAGTGCGATGCTTTGGATATACTATGCCATGATTAGGAAGCACGCAACTCTCTTGATCACCATCAACACCTTCTGTATCGTTATACAGACCTTCTATATCGTCGTATACATGTACTACGCTCCCAAGAAAGACAAGGTATGCATGCGTACACACACATACATACACATATATATATATATGTGTATATATATATTCAGTTGCTAATTATGCTGATTTTTGGGATGGCAGATTCTGACGACAAAGTTCATCTTCTTGTTCAATGTGCTCGGGTTTGGTGCGGTTCTACTCTTGACACTCTTTGTCACACATGGAGACAAACGTGTGAGCGTTGTCGGATACGTTTGTATGGTGTTTGCTCTGTGTGTTTTCGTCGCGCCACTTGGAATCATCGTAAGTCCACACCATTTAATCTCTCTCTCTCTCTCTCTCCATCTTTCTGTAACCAAATTCAAAAGCTTCTAAACAAACAAACATTAAGAGCGTCGAGTTCATGCCATTTCCTCTATCTTTCTTCCTCACCTTAGGTGCGGTCATGTGGTTCTTTTATGGCCTTCTCCTCAAGGACTTAAACATTGCTGTAAGCCCGAAAAATCTCTTCATTATTACATATCGAAAAGAGGGCTACCTCGAAGAATCTGTTTTCGTGATTTCTGACCGAAGTTTCTGGTTATAAAACAGCTTCCAAACGTGTTGGGTTTCGCCTTCGGTGTGGCTCAGATGCTGCTTTACGTGATTTACAAGAAACCGACGAAGAATGTATTGGAGCAACCGGCCATTAAGCTTCAGGACATATCAGAGCACGTTGTCGATGTGGTGAGGCTTAGTACGATGGTTTGCTCGTCGGAGATGAGATCTGTGGTGCCACAGCTGAGTGCTGACATGGAAGCCACCATTGATATAGATGATAAGATCAAGGGAGATATAGAGAAGATGAAACATAACAAAGGTGTCGACGACAAGATCGGTAAGGAAGACGTTGATGAGAAGATGAAGGCGCAGAACAAAGATGTCGAGACCGGTCTTGCTAATTAGCATGCGACTCTCTTAAGCTTCTTCAGAAGTGGTGTTTGGGTTTTATGGTTGCTTGTGGGCTAAGTTAGGTTTTAATGTGTCTTCATCGTCTATCTTCTGTCTCTTTCTCTTTATATGTATCTGTTTCTGTGGGTGGTTAATCTCTCTCTCTCTCTCTCTCTCTCTCTCTAAATTCCTTGCATGTAACGTCTTTTATTAAATGAATGAAGATTTATTTCTCCTAAAAGGTTGTCCGCATTCCTTATTTGATCAGTTGTTGCCAAAGCATGCGTGTCATCTTTAGATTCCTATAACCGTTGAAGTTACCTCCTAATTAATGTTTTCATTTTGAAACCATAACAAGTACTCGGCTATCTATCTATCTATCTATCTATCTATATACACACATATATACGTATGTAGAGAGAGAGAGAGAGAGAGAGAGAGAGAGAGAGAGAGAGAGAGAGAGAGAGAGTGTTTAACTGAGGGAGGTTGAGTAGATTTGTTCACGAGTTGTAAGCAAGTGGTAAAATTCCATCAATGCATATCTATTTCTGTGTAGACAACATATATAGATGTCTAAAGCAAAGTCAAAGTTGTCTCTTTTTCAAGAAGAACCCACAAGGAACGATCATGCTCACACCATTGGGAGATGCACGAGAAAGTTCCTCATTTGTCTTCTGATCCAAAGACAGTACGATTTTTTTTTTCTTTCTATAGATTCTAAAGAAGAAGAAAAAAAGGGTTAATGAGAAGAAAAAAATTATGAATAGAAGAGAACGTACAATGAATCAGCGCTTCCCCGCAAGTCAAAAGGTTGGATGAGTGGAGAATCTTGGATTCTGCAACATCAACAGTGTTCAGTGACTGGAAAGTGAAGGAATCTAACATATCAACTTGATCTTCTCCTCTCTCTCTCTCTCTCTCTCTCTCTCTCTCTCTCTCTCTCTCTCTCTCACATAATGGCCCACCCATCTATGCAACTCCAACTCACCATGATTGAATGTCTCACGACACTAGGTGTTGATGATCTTGAAAGCTGTTTCATCCCCATTAGACACAAACCAAGAAGAGAGGAGGATTCTTCATTAGGATCTAAAGAGACGCCCAATCTGGATACGGACACTCATATGTCCATCCCGGTCCGGAGTATCTAACACAATGTAGCCACAGTCCCTCGTCATGTTCCTCGTACCTGCAGTACAAGAGAGAGAGATTGATTTTGGTTTGATATGATGTGAGAATCGGGGATGCATTATAAACAAAGATTTGTGTCGAGTGAGAAAGAGCGAGTTACCCCTTTGGGACCAAGTTTGGGCAATTGGTGCACATTGGGTCGATGCTGAAATCTTCGCTAGAGTGCCCGTAATCGCTGGGCAGAGATATTTTCCTCTCGCCCAAGTTGCAGTTTACCCGTTCATCAGCATTTGTTCCTTTGGCAGAGCGATCATTCCCGTGTTCAAAGAGGTAAAGCGGGTCATTCGCTATGGGATGGCCAGTGTACTGCAGATGCACTCGTATCTACATTGTCCAAAGTGATGGAGAGAGGAGTCAGTCCAATCAGTTTGGGGGGAAATTTAAGAAAGCTCATGAACTTGAAGCTATGGATAGCTTATTGCTGGAGCATATCTGGTAAGATCACAAAATGTATACTAGAAGAGTTTATGCACAGCCTCATAAATTTCCAACCAAAATTCAGGAGAAATGTTTATTATAAGTTCACGATAATAACTAAGTAATAACCGCAGCTTTTGTGATCCAGGACTTGTGAGTTTTTCAAGCTATCTGGCTATCTGATAGAACCCACCCATTAATAATGGGCCCAACAAAGTCTCAAAGCCCATGGGTAGAACTCACCCCAAAAGCTAGCTTATTGGGGGAGGGTGCCCATGGTATTATATTGACTCAATTGTTCCCACATATTTCCGATGTGGGACTCTAACAATACCGCCCCCTTTAGACAGCGACGACCACGGCGCTGGCGGCTTCTCGGTCGCTGGCGGCTACGCACCCTTTGTGCTCCTCTCCCGACCGTTCCTCTCCCGCCGCGTCGTCTGCATGTCCGAGGATCGGTTGGCTCTGATACCAATTTGATAGAACCCACCCATTAATAATGGGCCCAACAAAGTCTCAAAGCCCATGGGTAGAACTCACTCCAAAAGCTAGCTTATTGGGGGAGGGTGCCCATGGTATTATATTGACTCAATTGTTCCCACATATTTCCGATGTGGGACTCTAACACTATCCCCATGTATTATATGAGTAACATACATATTTGTATAGATATGCAAACATAGCTTACTTGATGAGTGCGCCCTGTAACTGGTTCACACAGGATGAGGCTATGAGTCCCGTTGGTAGATATTCTTGTGAACTTCGTACAAGCAGGCTTTCCCTTCACGTGATTATCACCGGAAGCATTTGCTTCCTGCACAAATTCGCCGGCTCACGCACCCAATTTTATTAATATTTAGTTTCATTTGCATATCCAAGAAGAAAAGAGTTCTGCTGAAAGGTATAAGGTACCTTACCTCTGCTGTGCTTCTTCCTTCTCTAGCATTATAATTTATGTTGGCGTCAACAACTATCTGAGAATGAAAAGTCATGGAGAAATTTAGATAACAAAGTACTTTAGCAAAAAAAAAAAAGAGTTTCTCGTTCTTAGATATACTTAACTAATGGTCAGTGGTCACCTATTAGTCACAAAAGCTTAACTAGCTAAATCATGCACGACTTGTATAGGAAAGTCTCGATTGTTTTGCATGTCACATGTCCCCAGAAGTTAGTATGTTTTTAGAGCCTGAACTTCCGTGGCGTTTCTACGTAATTGCTACATCAAGCGTTTTACATTTTATATTTCAACTAATCAGCATCCACAAATGACAATAATGTAAAGGAGTTCTAACCTCATCCTCTGGGAAAACACCAATAACCTTAGCAATATATTGTTTCTTCACCATTCCACCTTCAATCTGGAACACAATCAGATGAGTAGTAAGATGATATTCGAGGCCAGTGGCAATTATAGTGTCTCATATGAAAATACGAAGCCTGGTGTAGTGACAGCATCCCAAGACAGTTTAAAATTTTAAATGGCTTGCTGTGGGAGACGAAAATAAACAAGATTAACTTTTGAGAGTACCTGTTGTCTGAAAATATCAGCTTTTGGAGCATTTCTGGCTAAGATGAGCAATCCAGAAACTAAACGATCCAGTCGGTGAACAGCTGGTGCATAATGTTAGGGAAACTCATATTTGTGTATTTATAGACAACAAATTCAGAGCATGCATCCTAATGTAATGTCATTATTCGGATACGGAATAGAGGTGCCAAGTCATACTCAGCTTGAAGGATGCCCACAACTGTATTCTTCCGGTATTGGCCACATGGATGCACCTGCACAAAGTAAAATATAATCATAAGCAAAATACTGCTCGGGCACACACATACGCACAAAGAGCCATACAACCACACAGGCATACATATGCTTATTTATAGACAAGGTGAATTTTGCCTTCACAACAGTGACATAATTGTGAACCAAAGAACAGGAAGCAGCAGAACCTGAGTACATGCAGTAAAGTTTGTTCAAATTAACTGGTACATCATCACGACTCATTCTGCACAAAACTGATAGCAAGCAAACAAAAAAAAATGTAGAAGGAAAAGGTCTGAACATGAGCTTTAACAGTAAGAATATCACTGAAACAACCTTCCTAGAAAATGGTTAATTTGAGTTGATATTAAAAAACATAAGAGCTAAGGGCTGAAAGTATAGATTATATCACCATCACACAAACGTAACCATTTCTCGAGTAAATAACCCTAAGTTGTTTCTTTCTCATATACCACATAAAGTAAAAAGTTCAACAGAACTTACAGGAACAGATGCAGGTTTGCAGATTGTAACTACATCTGGTTCTTTCTGAAGGACCTCGATGTCCCAAGACATCACCGGTGGTTCATGCCTAAAACCTTTCAGACATCAGTTTCAAATACACTTTCAATGGGATCTGTAAGTACAACGATCAAAGAAGACAAAACTTTCTTCGAAATAAAAATCAATAACAGCACAAAAGTTCATTTTTTGATTTCAAGTATGGACCCGGAAAATTAAAGACGTCTAAAAGTTATCACACCTTCTGAATAAAACTATGAAAGAGAGAAAAAAAAATGGACTAGTTCACAAAAACCACCTGTGCAAGAAATGGCTAATCTTCTGGGACGATCTAACAACATAAGAAACTGGCACGAATTCGCCATCAACTTGTATCCTCCCACATTTGACTGCACTAACCTACAATGTTCAGCATTACCAACAGGCACACCGTTAACTCCTTAGGATCAAAGCATAAGCAACAAAGAAAATGAGAGACAGAAAACATACATAATATTCACGCGGCCTGCCTTTGAATTCGTCCGCAAACAAATCCACAATCGTTTTCCCCGCCCATCTATTCTTCACCTACTCCACAACAATTCACCATTGAAACCGACCTAAAAAAACTAGGGCTAAAACCATCTAGGGCTAAGGAAGAGAATACGAACATGAGAAATGAACTCGAAGTAGTACGGCCTCACATGGCGTCTCCCTGCAGATTTCCAACCACAAAATCAACCATTGATATCTCCGGAAAACTGACAAAAAACGCTGATTGAACCAAAAAGAGCCACTGGATTACCGTTGTGAAAGATGTAATCCTGCTTCTGCGGCGGATTCGCTGGCGTCTGCCAAACTATATCGGCGCTCATTCCGTTCGGAGCGGTGGTTCCGACGGCAGCGTCTTCTCCGGAGGCCGTGGTGTTATCGCCGTTGTCGTCTCGCTGCTTTCTTTTCATGGTTTTACTCTGTATATGGGTTTTAGATTTCCTCTGTTTTTTTCGGGAATTTTAATCAAATGAGCAACTTGGTTCGCACGCGAACCTACCTATTTCACGTGTACACCATAAAAAAACATAACACTTTTTTTATTGAAAAGACGAAATTACCCTTAATAAATACGCGATTTTTATCCGTTCGAAAACAATTTCGTTATTACGACTTCTTAATTAATTCTAAATATAGTTACAATTGATTCTAAAAAAGGTGGCAAAAAAATCATTTGTCTTATTTTAGTTGTATATCAGTTATATGTTAGTCGTAATAAAATCGCAAAAAATAAAACGAAAATGGTATTTCGGACTTTTCCAACCGAAAAGTGGGTTAAAATTGAAAATTTTTTTTTTTCCGGTGGTGTACACTGAAATTGCTGCGAACAAGTGGGTTTTTCAACATTAACCAAAAGACGACAAAGGTTACCAATTATTTATTTATTAAAAAAATTAAATGATAAAGCAAATATTTTCTAATGCATTCAAATTCGACTGATTCGTTATCAAATCAAATTATACTTTCGGTATAAACTAAACCGGTGTTTTATATGCTGTAATGAAGCAAACCGATGAAAATAATAGATTGTGTGGTTCGGTTCAGTTACCCGGTTTACCTAAACCAGCCAAACCCAGACGCTAAACAGAACACCGAAACGACGTCGTTGAGCGGATGAACAGGCGAACGGTTAATTAAAAAAAAAAAGGTGAAAACCGTCACCGTGAAGCCTTTCAGAACTGTCCAAAAAAACTGCGATTGCTGCTTCGACTTTTATTTGAGCTCTCTTTCATCATAAATAATCATCATCATCTCTCTTCTTCTTCTCCGGTTTTTTCCACCCGATCGGATTCTCATAACCGGAGAGAGAGAGATCCGAAGCCAAAATCGTGTAAGATGTCCGATCAATCTCCTTGTTTCCGGGAAATTTTCTCCCGATTCGCAAGTTTCGATTTCCTTTTCCCCGTTCGAAGCAAGCTCTGATTCTTGTCTGTTAACTGTTTCGCAGATTCGAACCACTTACGATCTAGTAGAGCGTGTTTCAGACTGTTTAGAGGCGGGAGTTGGAATCGGAGCTCGATTTTGGCGGCGGAGGTGGTTGAGAGAAGTCAACGAAGATGCCGGAGGAGGAGCTGATTGATATCAAGTTCAGGTTGTACGATGGCTCCGACATCGGACCATTTCGGTATTCGACGGCCTCCACGGTGGATGTTCTCAAGCAGAGAGTAGTCTCTGATTGGCCTAAAGGTTAGTTAGGGTTTTGAAGCGTTACTGTTCCTGTGCTTGATTACGCCTTAGTTCTTTTGATCGATCTGCTTGAGGTTTTAGTTTCACTACTTGAAATTCTTGTTGTGTCCTTCAATAGGGGAATTATCTGTTGGAGACTGCAAAATTTGAGGTTGTTGATGCTACACTTAGATGATCAGTCCACACACATGAAGTTTTTAGTGTGATACCTGAAGTTATCATCTAATTGCATTTCTGTACTTATTCCTGCTGATGCTGTGATTTCTGCTAAGTTTGCTGTACAGTTTTTCTAAATTTAGACTGTCCAATTTTGTCTATGGAATGCTCATGAGTTTGAAGGTGGCGGCTCAATTAAGTTATTGCATTGAACTGAGCTGAATTCGTAAAACTTGAATACAGAGTTGTGGCGCATTTGATTTTCTGTGTTATGGCAAGCAATTATCGTCTGATTTTGTGGTCTGCGTATAAAATCAAAGACATGTGTGTTATGCGGGAGTCTACCAAAGAACTAAGCTGAGCTGTTCAAATTCTTCTTTATCTTTTCTATAGGCAAGTCAGTTGTTCCAAAGGGAATAAATGAAGTCAAGTTAATCAGCTCGGGTAAAATCTTGGAGAACAGCAAGACAGTTGGACAGTGTAAGACGCCATTCGGCGATGTTGCAGGTGGTGTTATCGTGATGCATGTTGTTGTACAGCCATCTCTAGCTAAAACTAAAACAGGTAATTGTTGGTCTCTGACTTTGTTGAATAAATGGCTCTCCTGTATGCATATCAGAAATTTGTTTCCATGGAAATCTCGGGTTGCATATAAAATCTATGATATCTTCTTTCTTCCTGGATTTGTCATTCATGAGTATGTCACTTGGTAGAGGATCCCTTGATTAATCCGAACCTTTTATATTGTAGTATCGACCATTTCTTATTTGGGTTGTGTTGAGATGGTATGCGCATTTAGAATCACCAAGGCATGCCATGGGAGAAAGAACCGAGTCTGATACTATTCGTTAGTCAGCATGTATAACAGGGACCATACAAGAGGGTCTGGACCTGTAAACCCTAAACCCTCTAGTGGACTTTTCAATAGGATTCAAAAGTCGATTTGCTTTAGAAAAAAAAAAAGATGCAAATGAACTTCTACTCATTTCTAATACATGATGATATAAACTCAGACCAGATTTAAAGCATTGATTCTGGTATTGGAGTCAATGAGACATTGGGATACCGAGAATTTCATGTCGGTCTTTTTCAAAGTTTGTTAGGGGAAGTGCTTTGGATATCTTCCTGTTCATTTCATCGTGAACCTCTTAGCCCCGAGAAGGGCCTTCCTTTTTTTTATATAAATGGAGCTACTTTTTAAAGCACTAGTGATTGTTTTTTTTTTTTTTTAACTGGAGCTACTTTCACGTTTAGCATATGTTCTAACAAAGAAATGGTGGTTTATTTGAACAGAGAAGAAGGTCGATAAGCCACAAAAGGCGGTTATCTGCACCTGCACCATTTTATGAAAAGGGCGAGAGACATGTAGTAGATCCTTTACCGCCTTTGCAAATTCTTCAGGTACAAAATGATAAAGGGTGCAAAAAGAAAAAACAACACACGTCCATGTGACTATACCTCCAAAATTCACCGCTTCAATCTGTAGAAATAGTTTCTGATGTGTTTCCTCTTCTTTTTTTTAAAAAAATTTCAATATATTGATGGATGATGTCATGTCCCGATGAACCCTTGAAGCTGTATGTATAGGTTAGGTACGTCTTTTTTACCAAGACAATGTGTGATGATGTTCTGTGTATCTATCTATCTATGTGAGAACAAAGAAAAAAAAGTGTCTGCATTCCGATGATTTCATATCTGCTTATTGAATAATAATAAAGCTGATGACTATTTATTGAATAATAATAATACTAGTAATAATCGTGTTAAACGGAGGGGAAGAAATCAGTCAGCAGGAGACGGAGGCGACGGCGAGTGGTGGTGTACTGAAAGGAGAGGGTGTGGCCGAATTCCAAGGGTTGACCGCCGTTGACTAGACAGTCGTCGTAATCCAAACGTTTGAAGCCCGTCACGCATCCGTTCGTTATTTCCACTCTGTACGTCGGCATCCCATCTGGCCGTGGCTCTGCGCTCTCTTGGCTTATCGCTATGTCGTTTTTCCTACACGTCCCCTCCTGCTCTGTTTATATATATATATATATAAACAATGCTTTCAGATATGATTAATCGATCATGTTTTCAGATAATGATGTCATGTGTTGAGAATTTCTTACCTGTGGAGAAGGCGAGGGGGGACATGAACCATGGCGATGAGGAAACATAGGACCATGCAGGTCTGCTCATCCCAGTTCCAATATAGACATGATTAATATGACTCTAAAAATATAATTTTTGAGAGAGAGAAAAAAAATATAATTTTCAAATATGATAAGATTTTTATAATTTTCAAATAGATGGATTTAGAGAGATTACTCCATTTTAAAATAATTTTTTTTGTCATATACAATGAATTTTTTTAGAAAATTTGTGCAAAACTCGTTTGACACACTTTGCCAAGAATTATTTTTCCCTTAAATTTCTCGTTACCCAATATAATACGGTCATTGAGATAAAAAAAAATCAATATTTTCTCCATATATCGTCATTATACAGGTAAATACAAGTGATAATATTTTATATTAAAAAGTTAAAAATCGAAATGTTACTTACATATAGATAAAATCTTTCATTTTTTTTTAAAAAATAGGATAGAACTATTAAAATTCTTGAACTTGTAACAAGGGGAAAACTATTTTGTAAGCTTTTTATTTGACAAAGGAATATAGTTATATTATCTACTCATCAAATTAATACATATATATATATACCCAATAACCCATGAACAAGCGAAAATTAGATAGAGCTTGTAAAAAATCGCTTGTCGTTTTCTCAAAGTAAAAACCATAAATTTCCAATTTGGCACCAATGATTAGAGGTTTGCTTATTTGGTCAATAACCGAATAATCAAACCGATTCGAACCGAATAACATATAACCATAACCGAACTGAATTAGATGTAAAACCGAATGTTTATGATTTCTTTTAAACCGAAAAAACCCGAACCCGAACCCGAACCGAATAAAAAAATAACAGAAAAAAACGTAATTTTTCTTAAAGAAAATGAGTATTTTTTTTTATCATAAACGAACCGAATATACCCGAACCGAACCGAATTCAATATAAAAACCGAACGGTTATAGTTGTTATAAAACCGAAATAACCAAACCTGAAAATAACTGAATCGAACCCGAACCGAAACCCGAATAAGCCACCCCAATGCTTTCACCCTACAAAAAATGTTTCCACAACTATACAAAACCCAATTTTCATGTGTTGCTGTCACAAAAATCTGATATGAGTTTTGGTCGGGACCCCCCAAAAAAGAAAACATGTTAGAACAAACCTGATGGCTGATGAATGGAATTGTATTAAGGCTAATGCTTCCGGCTCTTTGTTGCCTCCAGCTTCTTTATCTTGTCCATCAAATCCTGAAGCGAGTTGGAAGCAGTCTGCAACAACACCACAAATTTTATTTTTTTTGGTGAATAAACAGTGAAAAGATGAAGATTTTAGAAATTGAAATTACAAAAAAAAATGGTATTTTAATGGATTGGAAATGACCTCTAACTTCTCTCTGAGAACTTCTTCCTCTTGGTCACGTCTCTCTCTCTCCTCAGCGAATATATCGAGAAGACTCTCTTGCTCTTTGTTCATTTCTTCCACCTTCTTTCTTCCTTCTTCAACCTGGCTCAGTAATCACAAGGGGTACTTCCGTCATCCCGGGAATTCGTTTCGTTGAAATCGCAATCGGTCAAAGGATAAAATACCTCGGTTTCGAGTGCCTTGCATCGCTCTCTCTCACGGTTCAGCTCCTCTTGCAACTTTCCGACCTCTTCCTCTTTTCTCTTTAGCCTGGGAAAAAGGGGTTGACAATCAAAGTTCACGAAATCCAAAGGTATAAAGACGAAACGTTATACATGGAGATATCACGAACCTGCTTCTTAACTCATCATTCTCTTGCTCCAATTGCTGCACGGACCGTGAACCCGATGGAAACTTTGACGGTTCGGAGTTCTGAGGGCAGGACAAAATTGTACGTTCACATATCCTACTTAATTTAACCAAAAAAGATAATGGCACTGACCTTTTTAGGAAGCTGGTTGATTTCTCTTTGAGGACTGTTGTCATCTTCATCACTCGTGTCCTCGAGATATGAAGGCAAAGGTCCTTGAGACCTTCCTCTTTTCTGAGATTTAGTGCGAGTATTTCCCAGTTTACCACCTTTATCTGGCGTTACACCCGCTACTCCTCTCGAATATTTATCGGATCTTTTTTCTCCGCTCTTCGGATATAAGCATGGACCGATCTTGTCTGAAGCTGAAAACGGGGTCGAAGGTGCAGCCCTTTTCCTAGATGGAGCAGATCCATCAGGATCGTTTTCGGGAGATGGCTCTATAGAATGCAAACGTTTTTCAAAAAGTGTTCAGTAGAGGTTGTTAGCTTGCCATGGAAAAACAAAAGTTTGCGCATCCGTAAAGATATCGCACCTCTGTTGTCAGTGGCATTAAACGTTTTACTTCGCCTCGGAGCATATCCGATTTTGTGACAGTTGGTGCCCCTACGGTATAAATCAAAAGAAAGGAAACATCAGACCAGAATAATCCAATCCATGAATTAGAACAAACAAGAAAAAAATTACCGACCAATAATTCTTCTGCATTTGGACAAGCCGTGCCTCAAGTCTCGAGAGAACTGTTGTCCGCTCAAAACCTTGCTTATCGTGAGCAGGCTCCACGAAATTAGCTTCCAAGACACCTATTAGCAGAAAGAATTTGCATCAGAATTTGGCATCGAATTGGGTAATCAAAGAAATATAACTTTCCGCTAGACACTATACCTATAACCCCACGGCCATCACTTCCAGCTGCATTCCATATCCTCCAAAACGGCTGACAAAAATGTGAGAGAGGTTAAACATAAGAATATGAACCCGTTCTTTTTTGTTTATTTCTGAAAGAAACCAAGGTCAACAGGGAGAAAAATGTCGAGCAAAGATGCCATTACAAGTAATATAAATAAACCTTGATTAGCCTATTTTTGTGGTAGACATTGAAGCCTTGCACATCAACATGATGTTTAGCATCCTTAACAAATCCAATAGTCACAACAGCAGACATCTGATGAAAACGTTGAACTCAATCAGCGTACAGTTATATCTAGAATAAGCGCAATATGTCTATTCATACAAGAACATAATAGGCCCGAGTATAACTTCACCGTAGAAACACACATTTGAATCCTTGGCGACTCCATCAGCATCAGATGCTGGCCGATAAGTAATCTGTTTGGTCTGCATCATATCGTTCACTATGTTGTGGTGCTCGACATCTCTTCCTCGCAGAATGATGCGAAACCCGGGTGGAATTCTTAGGTAGAGAATCGATACATAACTCTGAGAATAAAATCAAAGAGATACACAAAGTGAATTGAGTAGTATAGATTGCATACCCGAAATCGAATTCAATGAAAAGAGATAGAATTGTTTACCCTTAGTGAGTGCTTGTATGTCAGAAAGTGCTTAGAGTTTGGAAATTTTGAAGCCATTCGTATATGCTTCTCATCCCGGTTGACACCTCTAAGTTGGATATCCTGCAATAAACCATTTGTTATATGCTGCAGAGATAGAAGTTCCAGAATCATTTCCGGTCATAATCAATATATATTGAGTAACAAAACAGACATACATGTGGATCAGCATCAAAATCCAGCTCTAACATTCCTTGGTCATCTTCCCAAAGGTTATATATGATTATCCGAGTGCCACGATCCTTCATTAGATTAAACTACAACGAAGAAAGCAACAGATTAGTGGAAAGTGTGTTCTAGTAATAACAGCAGAGAGAAGATTGAGAAAATGAGAGCACAAATCACATGAACGATAAATGGAACAACAATGCTCACAAAAGACGTTAGCTACACGAAAAAGGAACATAAGCCAACAGTTTCAATGTCTCGATTCTCTCCTCCTGAATAATACGGACAGAAATTCAAAATTCAATAGCGTGAACAAGTAACTAAACAACTGCTTCCAGTAAAGGAAAAAACTCACCTGACGTAAAAGATCTTCTTCACTAGAGAAGGGCGACCACTGGATCATTGTTTCCACGTTCTTATCCCAATCACTAAAGGTAGACCGAAGTATTTTGCTCCATTCAGGCCCTCTTCTTTCATAGTCAAGCTTTTCATTTAAATCGGCACCACAATCAATTATAAGAGATAAACTCACTAGGAAACCCGGTTAAATTTGAAAAAGATGCATTTGCTCCATCGTATATGTTCCCTAAAAAACCCCCTAAAGATTTCACAAATGAATGAATGAAGCTTACAAACTAGTGCCGCCATTCAGATGTATATGTAGCTAGTGGGCCATAAAATCCCCTAGGAAAAAACTCAAAATTGTGGAGTTGTAAAAAAGAATATCGAGGATCATAACGCCTTTCTTGCTTGATATAGAATAATACCATCAAAAATGTAAATTTAGCCAGAAAGAACGATTAGCTTACCCTGCAAAACATATCACATTCAACTAAAAATGGAGAGGAAATCTTATGCTTAACATTTTCTCGAAAATGAATGTAAGCGGTCACAAAACTTAGAAATAAAAATAGCCTTTCAATATTATGTGATGATAATTCAGGCTACATTAGCGTATGGAATGTCATGCTAAAAGGACAAAATATATTAATAATACATAAAACAAGTGGCACATGGAAAAGGTAGATTACCATGGGTACAACGATGTCCTCCTTCCCCGTGCTCCTTAGAAATGTATATGACAGTAATCCGATGCTCTGTGTGGAGCTAAAATCAATATCAAGTGAATACGACTATAAAGGGCATATACTAATTCTTGAGAATGTTATATGCAAGGAAGATTATAACCTAATTAACATCATTACAGATTATATCATTGAAAAAGAGAAGCGACCACAGAAATCAAACCTCTTTCCTTCCTTTCCTGGGCAACGAGAGAATACTATGACATCAGCTCCAAGCCGCATTGTGCTGGTCTTGAATCCATTGCCATCTGTAAGATGCATAGAAAATTAGGTCTGTCCTGTACATATCTTGTAAACCATCACTCTTAAGAAGAACTATTACACTGTCCAATAGTATTTGCAAGTTTGCTTTTTGCAGAATATCCCAGAGACATGCATTGCCGCATTTTGTCAGGATCCATCCCGCCTCCATTGTCTGCAATCCCAGTAACAGGTTGATCAATGTATGAGAAGTTGGAGCAAAAGTGTTACATCTTCAGCGCAGAATCTTTCAAGAAATAATGTATTATGTTTATACCCTCAATCAGTAACATCCTGCTCCCATCTTTCCTATTTTGGATCATATCTACGTTAACATATGTAGCTCCACTGGCAACCTGACACCGAACACGAGAAACCATTTAGTATAAGCACAAAAGTAAAACATTTTAAGATTTGAAATTCTTCAAAAAAAAATCAACCTCATCCAAAGCATTGTCCAAAAGCTCTGCAAAAGCTGCAAAAAGTCATGTAAAACTAATTAGCGCATAAGATTAAAGAGGTAAACTATTACAAGTCTATTTACAACCCACAAACTACACCGGACAACTATTGTCAAAAAGCACGCACCAAAGGTTTATAAAAAAGGTACCTCCAAGAGCCCATTTATGGCTGGTTGCATTAGAATGCAAGAACTTGGGGTGAACTCTTACATGATCAAAACTACCTGAAAATCCGGAAATTCAATAAACTAGCTATTCAAGGTGTCATCAATATCAATATCCATCATTTCAAATCCACTAAAATGGTAATAAAACAAGGAGTCAGAGTCTGCATTCAAACATTCACTAGTTACATCTCTACAGCAAGTCAATAAGGACAAAAGGAAAACAAAAACAGGAACTCCTCTCTTAATTTGGTCTTCACACTCTTTATCTGTTTGGTCTGCATCATATCGTTCACTATGTTGTGGTGCTCGACATCTCTTCCTCGCAGAATGATGCGAAACCCGGGTGGAATTCTTAGGTAGAGAATCGATACATAACTCTGAGAATAAAATCAAAGAGATACACAAAGTGAATTGAGTAGTATAGATTGCATACCCGAAATCGAATTCAATGAAAAGAGATAGAATTGTTTACCCTTAGTGAGTGCTTGTATGTCAGAAAGTGCTTAGAGTTTGGAAATTTTGAAGCCATTCGTATATGCTTCTCATCCCGGTTGACACCTCTAAGTTGGATATCCTGCAATAAACCATTTGTTATATGCTGCAGAGATAGAAGTTCCAGAATCATTTCACTCTTTCTTAACATGAAAATTTCCCGGTTTTAACTAGATTGTAAACCTGTAAATACACCATGGATGCTTCAGATAAGATAATAATGAATGAAGGAAATGATCTTGATGAACCCACAGCCTATAGAACAATGGTCAGATGATTACTTTTCTCAGACTATAATTAGGCCAGATATCACCTTCACTGGACTCAAGTCAGTACACATCAGTTTCTAAAGATCCCCATTAACAAGCTGCTTATCAATGCTTTGAGGTACTCATAATAGAGCCCAGATGAGGATAGTTTGAGCTTCAGAGTTCATGTATATACTGGAATTTCATGAACTTGAAATTTTTCCAGGTTTCTTCTCCATTGACGTTCCCAGTAATTCTCCGCCATTACAGCCATATCAAAGCTACTGCAATGGAAAACGAATATGCTAATCAGAGTACGAGTTTTACCTGAAGACTGTTCCCAACCACCGCCGGAAGCTCCTTCGTAATCCCCAGCCTTCCAAAACGACCTACAACTACCAACGCCACCGGAGACGACGGAAGAAGGCGATGGGTACGGGACCGTCACGGTCGCCAACGGCGTCACGGTCGCCAACGGAGGTGCAGGCAGAGCCTGAACCGCCAGAGCTTCCGATTGGTCGAAACCCTCCGGCAACACAACCGCGAGTTCATCCGCCGAAAACTTCTTCACACGCTTCCGATCCAACTCCGTCGAAGCTACAGAACTCCCGAGAGCCCTCTTCGCACCGACGGAAGCAGTTCTTCTGGCGGTTCCGGAATTATCCCGATCACCGCCGCTGTTTCCGCCGGCGCTTCCGACATCCACAAACGCGTCCCCGTTATCCCCTCGCTCAGAATCACTGCTGCTGCTACTGAGATCGATGACAGGGACAGGTTCTCCGGTGGATTTCCGCGCCGGCGAAGCAGCAGGAGTCTCGAGAGCTTCTCGCTTCCTAGGAGCATCCATGGATGGAAAAACGGCTGAAGAAGAACGAGAAGAATAAAGACTTCAATAAAGTTTCAGAGAGCTTTGCATGAGAGATTAATGGCGGAAGACGAAGAGGGGGGAATGTTTGTTTGCGCTTTAACTCTTTAGGTGACGCAAAGAAACTGTAAACACTGACGGTGAAAAGCCCAGTTTTTGCCCTAAAACGCCGCCGCTTTGGTTCTTTCAATGTTTTCTTTATATAGAGTTCTCAGCTCTTAATTATATTCCTTTATACGGGGAAAGTATTGCGTATTCACATTTCAGCATTTGCCTTTAAAATCCAAAACTTTCCGTATAGAAATTTATTTGATTTTTAGTTAATTAAGAATCAGAATTATTCATAAAATCAATTTTCCCATATGGAGAGCAAATGGATTTTGAAAGGCTCGAGCTTTGAGTTGTTCGGTACCATCCAACAAATTATGGGCCCATTAGGTAATCCTAATTGGGCCTGAATCGGCCCATTTTGTTGTCAAACCTTCTTCAACGATGTCGTTTTGGTCTTCCTATACCAAATTACGAAAAAGCCCATGAGTCACTTTCTCCGATTTAATCAAAACCCTAAATTCCCAACTTTCCTCCGTTCACAGTTTAGTGCTGCTTACCGTAACCACAGGAGCAGAGTGGAACGGAGAAAAATGGTAATTCCTGATCTCAATGCCGTGCTTCAAAATCTATGCGTTTTCATGAATCTGCAGCTTTTGTTTCCGTGTTAGTGTAATTTTATGTTTGCCGATCTCAATGCCGTACTTGATCGGTTGTGTTTGCATTTAGATTTGCTGTTAGCAAATAGATTTTGTTCATTGTGATGGTTATAGGCCCCGAAGAAAGGAGTAAAAGTGGCTGCCAAGAAGAAGCCGGTATGTGATCATTTGTTCTTGTCTTTTAGAAGATATTCATTTTTAAATTGCTGTCTCTGTTCTAAGTTCCTAAGCGTGCTGCTAATTCTGGGTTTTAGGAGAAAGTCACGAACCCCTTGTTTGAGAAGCGGCCCAAGCAGTTCGGTATCGGTGGTGCTTTGCCTCCTAAAAAGGATCTTTCCCGATACATCAAGTGGCCGAAGGCTATCCGACTCCAGAGGCAGAAGCGTATCCTGAAGCAGAGGTTGAAGGTCCCACCGGCAGTGAACCAATTCACCAAGACCCTCGACAAGAACCTGGGTAATAGTTCTTTTCCCTGATTAGTATGGTGGCTTTGTTATTTCCACTCTTTCGGCTGTAAGACGCATGGGAATTGATGGTCCACAGAGTATCATGCTATTTCGTTAGTTAACCTATGAAGTCTAGATAATCGTTTCTTAACATTCTTAGGTGTGTTTGGTTTAAGCTGGTTAGATGAGAAACCATAGATGTTAGATGAGAAACAATTACATTACTTTTGTTTGTGTTTCTGTTGAGGTTATTAGCTTGCCAGTTGCCAGACTTCAATGTATAGTGTATGCTTTACCCCCCTCCCGGCTAGCCTTGCAAGAGCTTGCCCTAGCTTTTGACCTTTCTCGTGCTGGCTTACCCCCTTGGAACCAATGAAGCAAATACTTGACCTATCTTCTTAATGCAAACTCAACCTTTTCTTTTCAATCATGGAGGGGGCTTTGTTAATGTATAGTGTATGCTTTGTTATGTTGGCTTTAAGTTTAAAACGTCTTGTTTTATCTTTATGGGCATCATCACTTCAGTGGCAAGCATTCTTAAATGCTTCTGGATTCCAAAATAAATGTCATTAAAAGAAACATACTGTCTGTCACAATGATTTCTTCCCAGTTATGTGGATGTCCTCTGTGAATGTGTTTTAGTGTATTTGCTTTTGTTGAGTGTGATTGCTACTGGTAACCTGGCTAATTGCTGTGGCATACGTGATTTATGGTTGCAGCTACTACCCTCTTCAAGCTTCTCCTGAAATACAGGCCCGAGGACAAGGCGGCCAAGAAGGAGCGGCTTCTCAAGAAGGCGCAGTCTGAGGCGGAGGGAAAACCCATCGAAGTGAAGAAGCCAATCTTTGTAAAGTATGGTCTTAACCATGTGACATACCTCATTGAGCAGGTCTGCTGCCTTTCTTTATTATGATTTTGAGCATTAAACATTAATGCAAGAAACTTGTGGTGGGTAGTATAGTTACAGAGATCGAACTCTTTTTGTCTTAATGCAGAACAAGGCGCAACTGGTGGTCATTGCTCATGACGTTGACCCGATAGAGTTGGTCGTCTGGTTGCCTGCTTTGTGCAGGAAAATGGAAGTTCCTTACTGCATTGTCAAGGGAAAATCACGCCTCGGAGCGGTAATTACGAATTTTCATTTTCTTAACTATTACACGGGCCATCTGGTTTTGAGCGTTTATTTTTTCTTTTTGGGGGGTTCGGTGTTTGCAGATTGTTCACAAGAAAACCGCGTCTTGCTTGTGCCTAGCCACCGTGAAGAACGAGGACAAGTTGGAAGTCAGCAAAATCCTCGAGGCCATCAAGGTATATATACAAGACATCGGCTATAGATTTACACTTTTGGAAATTACAGAAACGGGATTATGACGACGCCCGCCTTTTTATGTCTCGGCAGGCGAACTTCAACGACAAGTACGATGAGTACCGGAAGAAGTGGGGAGGCGGGATTATGGGGTCGAAGTCGCAGGCCAAGACCAAGGCCAAGGAGAGGGTTCTCGCAAAGGAGGCTGCACAGAGGATGAGCTAAGTTCCGTACTGTCATTTTTGGCCTGTGAGATCTTACTTCTGTACCATTTGTATGCCTTTTACCGTCTTAGTTTTTGTTACCATTATTTGATCTTAGTTATGCAAAATCGAACGTTAATTAAATATGGCAGATAATCTTATTTGAATTGAATCCAATATAAATCTAATCCGAATATATAAATAATCGAAAATCATTTTTTTCTGAATAAGTATTTTTATAAATAAAAATTGGGTTCTAATTTAAGCTTGAACATTTTGGTTGTATTTAATGTAAAAGTTGAATGAGGTTAATACAGATTAAGCGAAACATAGGTAAAGAAAAAAAGCAAGTGAATTACAACTCGTTCACACCATTGCCGATCTAGCAGTAGATCGAGGTCTTACGATATCGTATCTCCCGGCCGATCTCCTGAGGTTGAGAACCTTCGATCTTGGTGGTGGCTTAGCCTTGGCAAGGTCGGCCCACCAACGGCTGAGCCACTCGGTTACCTCTGGGGCAAACACCCTCCACAGCATCACTGAATCGATCCACGATGGCTCGACCAAGTACTTATCCCCTCTGCATACGCTCCTTACTATCGCCTTTCCGCATTTCTCGGCGGATTCCACCGGTAACACATTGACATGAACCTAAATTCATTTTCACAACCCGTTTTTTTATTCTTTAGAACCAGCTTCAAGATTGTGTTTTAGAACACAATTACTTACATCTCTTAGTTCTTTATCCACTTTGAGTTCCCCATCCTTTGTCATGAACTTCCCTCGGCTCAGTTCCGAGTCTATTATCCCCGGTACCACTATTGTTATCCCGACCTCCGACCCAAACTCCGCCCTTAGCGTTTCGTAAAAGCTTATCATCGCTGCTTTACTCGCCTGAATCGAGAGGGGAATCCTCAAAAATGGAAGTTAAAAATATGGTTTCGCTGCCGATGAACGAGTTTTCTTACACAATAGAAGCTCAATTTGGGCGAAGGAATGTAAGCGCATCCAGAGGCGATGGCTACGATCTTCCCTCTGCTCTTCTTTAGGTACGGGCGGGCGAAGAACGTGCAGTAAGCCGATCCCCAGAAGTTTACGTCCTGCGAAAAAAATCGAATGCCCGGATTTCGTACACCGAGTCTTTATGACATAGATGATGTCTATATCTCTTACATAAGTATTGTCTTAGTTAATAACATTTTTGAAACAGAAGATTGAAGGTAAAAAGATGTTTTAAAAAAGACAACCATTGAAGGCGCAGCCTTGGAGAGATCGTCGATGTCTTCGAAGAGATAGAGCGGAGCAATCCCCGCATTCGTCACGAGATGATCCACTGCTACGTACGTACGAGATCCGTACGGCATTTTCACGTTAGAACTTTGCATATAATGAAATTACTATATTGCCCTTGTAGTTTGCTTACGTGTTCCGAAGTGGCGGACGGTTGCTCGGATAAAACGCTCGCAGTCTTGGACGTCGGAGACGTCGCCGACGATGGGGATGACTTCCGGCGAGGAGTAGTAAGCTTCGGAGAGAGCCGCCACTTCGAAGAGAGGGTCTCCTCTTATGTCCACAAGTGCTAAACACGCTCCTCTCTTTGCGTACTCGTAAGCTATGCACTGTATATAACCCCCATATTTAACATATACATATATATACACTTTACTGTTGTGTTTTTGTTTGGTGAACGAACCTCGCCGATGCCGGAAGCTGCTCCGGTGATGAGGACAACTTTTCCGGCGACATCTTCGGCGAAAATGTTACGGAAAACAGAGACGAATGACTTCAATCTCTGGTACGTGGGGTGGAACGCGAAGAGTCCGTACAATGCAATAGGAGGGAAGATTAAGTTCATCATCTTGTTGATCGAATCCATCGTTTTTTCTCATTACTCCAAAAAAAAAAGCGATGAGCCCCCTTTTCTTTATATGGTCGAAATGATATTTTCCGGTTTCTGGTTAGAATTTCTTGGTTTTTTAGAAAAAAAAAAGGGTTCGAATTTCTATAAAAAAAATGTTCATTTTCTAAATAGATTTTCGATTATTTATATATTCGATTTGAACCGATTCAATTTTTGATAGCCGAATTGAGACGCCCTTAGTCGAACAGTTTGGTTTTAATTAGTTTGCACGTGAAACCGAAAGCGGTACTAGTCCTATCGAACCGGCCGGTACGAAATTTTAATTGGTTTGCCTTGTTTTGTCCGCTTTGACCGGTTTCAGCAGTAAGTTGTTCTGAAACGTGGCAATTTCGCATGCTTAAGGAGCAATACGTGTTTGATGAACCACGAGCCGTAACACGTGGTATTTTTTTTTTCATATCTATAATCAAATAATTGACGACGTTCGTTCGTTCGTGTATTTATTGGGCCTGATATGGGCCTCAGTATTGCGCTAATCCAAATTGGGCCAAGGGTTCATATGTAAACGGCCCATTAAGTCCATTAAAAGGCAGAAAACAGTGCAGGTCAAGACAAGGACGACAAGAAACAGTTATAGTCTCTTGTTCAACTTATGTCTTTTAAGTATATACCGTACAGGATACTAGTTTCTCATTAACAGCACAATATCTATATATATATATATATATATATATATATATATATATATAGAAAGAGTCTTTTTATTTTTAGGATGAAATAAAAGACGAGAATAGTGAGGATCCCTTCTAATCGTGTTTGGAGTTAGGCTTCATGCGAAAACGACAGAACCAATCGGTCAACTCAGGGCAGAGTGTCTTAACCCAGAAGAAGGAACCGATCCACGACGGCTTCGTCACAAACCTCTCCTTCCGACAAACCCCGTCGACTATGCTTTTCGCGCAGGTCGTCGCCGACAATACCGGCATGAATCCCCACCCTTCCTGTTCCATCTCATGTATCCGGATTTCTTTTAAAAACACAAGCCATGAAGCAGGAGAGAAATGTAAAGAAATGACGAAAGAAGAAGGGTGTGAAGATTGGAAGAGGCGAGGTGTGGATTAACAGAGGAGGCCAAGACTCGGTTTCTTAACTCGGTTTCGTAGATTGGAAGAAGGAAGTGCGAATGATAATTATGTATAAGATGATTATATGTATATAACAGTTTCAGAATCTTTCGGTATACAGATCGATGTTTCTCCATTAACAAAACCAAACCATTTTAAGCACCTTTGTAATTTTCAGACAATTGGTTACAGTGGCGGATCCAGAAACTTTTTTAAGTGGGGGCAAAGATTATTATATATATAAATAAAAAAAATTAATAAAAATATATCATCATAAAATATTTACCAAATTCTATATTTTTTATTTTTTAAAATTTATCCATAATAGCTTTATGTATAACTATTTAAAACTTATATTTTGTGGGAAACAAATTAGACAATTATTTAAATTGTCTATTATGATATTCAAGATTAATCAAATTAAAAAACTTATCATCTTCTATCAAATTGTCGGTATAGATATTAAGTTCACGTCTAATATACATTTGTTTTAAATAACTGAAATTATCACGATAAAATTCACACAATTTCACTAAATTTGACATGTTAAACTCGCACAATAAATTAACAAAACTCTATACTGTCATGCAAATGAAAAGTTTTGAATTTAACTCGTCAAAAAATGATCATTAAGTTCCTGAAGTTGTAAACCTATAGTAATATAAAAAAATATAACGGGTAATAATGTAAATTGTTTAAACTTTTTTTATTTTATCTTTTTGAATCTACGTAATTTTTTTTATATTGATAATTCCAATATCGTTTTTTCGCAAAAAAATACATTTTATTTAAAAGTGAATCTCATCCAATATCTCTTTATTGTTATAATTATTATTTTTATATATTTCACCAATTAAATTTAGAAACATATGAACAAATAAAAAATAAAAATGATTAAAATATAATCATAATATTTAGATATCTTTAATATTATTATTTTATTTTTTGTGTTTTGTCTATATTTTGTTAGAAAAAGAGGGAAAAAATAAAAAATATATATAGAAAATAAAGAGTAAAAACATGGTAACCGCGTAACCTAAAAAGAAAAAAGAAAAACAATTTTTTTAGAAAAAAGTAAATAAAAGAACGGGAGAGGAGGTGAGGGTGGGGGCAACCACAAAAATCAGATGGGGGCATTTTTTTAACTTTGGTTATAATTTTATAAAATCTATAAATAAATTGTATAATTTTAATTAGGTGGGTGGGGGCATAGGACCCCACTCCAATACACGTAGGTCCGCCCCTGATTGGTTATAAGTGTACCTTTGCAAGGATCTCTGGAGTAGCCATTTCTGTTTTAGTGAACCCTGGACCGATGATCGTCACTCCAATTTCGGGACCAAGTTCGATCCTTAGGGTTTCATAAAAGTTTATCATCGCAGCCTTTGTTGCCTGAATAAGTTCGGCCATCAAAGATATCTGTCTTAGATAAGAGATTATTGTTATCGATAATTGAAAAACGTTATTCTTACGCCATAGATGCTAAGTTTCGGGTATGAAAACCATCCCGAGGCCGAGGCCATGACCACGATTTTCCCTTTGCTCCTCTTGAGATGGGGAATCGCAAAATGTGTTGCGAAAACCGAACCCCAGAAGTTTGTGTCCTAAGGGTTAGTTAAATGAATATCATTATGTTAGTTTGGAATCTAATATTGGGAATTTTGTTGATAAAAGTTAAAGTGGCATATAGCTTTGTACCATTTGACGAACAGCGTTGGTGAGTTGCGAGTGATCTTCAAATGCTCGGAATTCTATAATTCCGGCGTTGTTCACCAAATGATCCACTGTCACATATATTAATTGTTACAGAGATCAAAAGGATAGATGAAATATTATAATTTGATCTTAATCATATATATCTCGACTTACCGTTTACAGTTTTCATTCATATATCAGATGAAGTTTAGGAAAGGAAAAAGAACAAAAACTTTCAGACATGGAGCGAATTAGGGCTGCAGAAGATTTCAGAAACAAGAATCACTTTCTTGGGTATCAAGAAACGGAGAAACCCTAAACCCTATTGGTATTATAACGGAATGATTTTAAAGTAATCAACCAAAAGAAAATACTCACATCGACCAAAATGATTGATGGTTTCATCGACAAACCGCTCGCAGTCTTCGACCACAGTCACATCGCCGCCAACACTTACAACGTCCGGCGATCCGATCCGCCGGCATTTCTCAGCCACCGGCGGAAGACGATCCTCCCTCAGATCAACCAACATTAGAAGCGCCCCTCTACGTGCGTATTCGTAGGCCAGTTGCTACGATACAATAGTTATATATAATCTATTGATCTATTACAAAAATTTAATAAAAACAACATTCACAAGAATGATCGTGGACCGACCTCGCCTATTCCAGAGGAAGCTCCGGTGATGAGGACGACGTTTCCGGTGACATCCTCTGTGTTTAAGCGTCTCCTTACACAGTTGAAGAGCTTGAAGAGGGACAGCAATGGCGATAACAGAAACAAAGACAGTAAAACAAGAGTAGGAAGAACAATGCTGAGTGTCTTGTTCACCATATCCATCCCTAAAATGGAGTTGTGACCCTCACCACTTTGATTAGCCATATATATATAAAGTTTGATAAGATTCTACACTATTTTACCCATCTTATTATTAGCCCATCACTATGCATTTATTGAACCCAACAACCCAATATATGGATGTTATATTGGTTGACAATTTTGTCAAGAGGATATTAACACCAAAGACCTAATTTCCGTCAGCTAAAATAAAAATTTATATGAAAGTTTCATTATTTAATGTCTTTTATTGTTTGATGGCCCAGTGCCAATTTCTTTACAACCATTTCCTTCAAGGCATTCAAGTCTTCATAAATTATGTTTCTGCATTAAAACCAACTTTTTCAATTCACGGAAACTAAAAAAATGTGCGAATAATCCCACAAAATATCCACGGAAACTAAAAAATAAAAAATAAAAAAAAATATAGTCTTCTATGTGGGTCACCGTTTTTGGAGACAGGCGCTACCTGATAACATATTCGTTATCTAACGGCTGCTAAAAATAAAAATTTAACAAAAAATTTAACGAAAATCGTTCGTGTAGTTGTTGGGCCTGATATGGGCCTCATCAGTATTGCTCTAATCGAATTTGGGCCTAGGGTTCATATGTAAACGGCCCATCAAGTCCATTAAAGTAGCAGAAAACAGCGCAGGTTAAGACGAGCAGTTACTTGGATGACAAGAAACAGTTACATTCTCTTGTTCAACTTATGACATTACGGGAATCTTTTATGTCTTTCGAGTAGATACCGTACAGGATAGATTTGGGCGATGTTTCAGATTCTTGTCTTCTAAGTAAAAAGACGAGAATCTCTAATCATGTTTGGAGTTTGGCTTCATGCGTATACGACAGAACCAATCTGTGAACTCAGGGCAAAGTGTCTTGACCAAGAACAAGGCACCGACCCACGACGGCTTCGTCACAAATCTCTCCTTCCGACAAACTCCTTCGACTATGCTTTTTGCGCAACTCCTTGCCGACATCATTGGCAGGAATCCCCACCCTTCCTGTTCCATTTCACACATCCACATTTCTTTTTCTTTAAAAAAACCAGTGATGAAAGCAGAGGGTGAAGAATGAAAATGGGAGAGAAATGCAAAGAATTAACCAAGAGAAGAAGGCGAAGATTGAAAGAGGCGACTTATGAACGCAGAGGCCAAGACTCGGTTTAATCTTGGGTGAAAAGAAACCATTTCAGACAATTGGTTATAAGTGTACCTTTGCAAGGAGCTCTGGAGTAGCCATTTCTGTTTTAACGAACCCCGGACCGATGATCGTCACTCCAATTTCGGGTCCAAGTTCGATCCTTAGGGTTTCATAAAAGTTTATCATCGCAGCGCCTTTGTTGCCTGGACAAGTTCAAAACCATCAACGGTATCTGTCTTAGATAAGAGAATTAATGTTGTTGTTATTATTGTTATTGTTATTGATAATTGAAAAACGTTAGTTCTTACGCCATAGATGCTAAGCTTTGGGTGTGAAAACCATCCCGAGGCGGAGGCCATGACCAAGATTTTCCCTTTGCTCCTCTTGAGATGAGGAATCGCAAAATGCGTTGCGAAAACCGGACCCCAAAAATTTGTGTCCTAAGGGTCAAATGAATGCCAGTATATATATATATATTATAGAGTTTAGTTTGGAAAGATATCTAACACTGAGAATTTAAAGTGGCGGAGCTTGGAATAGAGTGTGTGTACCATAAGACGAACAGCGTTAGTGAGTTGCGAGTAAACTTCAAATGCCCGGATGTCCGCAATTCCGGCGTTGTTCACCAAATGATCCACTGTCACATATGTTGTTACAGATCGAAACCTAAATGAGATATTATATGATTCGTATCTCAACTTTGTCCAAGGACAGGACAAGAGAACAATGAGTACGTTGCGAGCAAAACCTACGGATCATGAAGCTGTCGGACCAAACAATGCAGGGGGGAAATTGTAATCAAGTGTATAGTGAGGCGTTTATGGCATGAAAACTACATGGAGGAGGCAGCAAGGACGTGTTTAGAATGAAAAGGGAAAGAATAATAAGTCCACAATAGAGATGTCAAAATGGGTCGGGTTATGCATATTGACCCGACCCGATCCGATTATTGATCCAAATGGCTAACCCATTTGATTAACTTTTTAAAATGAGTTAAATGGGGTTTAAACCCATTTTGACGTCTTTCCTATTATAGTATTTGATGGATGACCTGCAAAGTAATCAGCTTTGCTTCGTCGTATGATCTTCTATATAAGCATAAACCATGGATGAAGAAGAGTGTGTATGTGTGTGTGTGTATATATATATATATCATGACCGTTAGCCGGTGAAGATTGAGACAAATCAAGAAACATATTATGCTTATTTCCTTTTGTGTTCTCTTGCATATTTGTATATATTTCCATTTCTTGGATATCTAACTGTTTTGTGAACCTTCCTTTTCTACATTGTCGTGCTATATATACATATATACATGTATATGTAAACAATCTGACGTACATTTGGAGATATGGGGAATAAAGTTATTCTTGTGTAATTCAATCAAGAAATTTTGTTTTATTCTACTCGGCTCTATGAATCTATTTGTCCGGCTTAAACTTGTTCATCCCCTTCTTCGGCCATTCTCGTTGATTACATTTTGGCTCATCTTAGTTTTCTACAGACTTATGGTTCACAGATTTCATACATGCATACATACATATATATGGTCAGATCGTGTGGGGACGAAACAAATTTTCTCGGAACCCAAGAATTCAAAATCAGATGAAGTTTAGAAGGTAAAAAAAAACATAAGCTTTCAGACATGCACGGAGCGAATTAGGGCTGCAGAAGATTGCAGAAACAAGAATCACTTTCTTGGGTATCAAGAAACGGAGAAACCCTAAACCCTATTGGTATTATAACGGAATGATTTTAAAGTAATCAACCAAAAGAATACTCACATCGACCAAAATGATTGATGGTTTCATCGACAAACCGCTCGCAGTCTTCGACCACAGTCACATCGCCGCCAACACTTACAACGTCCGGCGATCCGATCCGCCGGCATTTCTCAGCCACCGGCGGAAGACGATCCTCCCTCAGATCAACCAACATTAGAAGCGCCCCTCTACGTGCGTATTCGTAGGCCAGTTGCTACGATACAAAAGTTATATACAACCTTTATATAATCTATCGATCTATTACAAAAATTTAATAAAAACAACATTCACAAGAATGACCGTGGACCGACCTCGCCTATGCCAGAGGAAGCTCCGGTGATGAGGACGACTTTTCCGGTGACATCCTCTGTGTTTAAGCGTCTCCTTACACAGTTGAAGAGCTTGAAGAGGCATAACAATGGCGATAACAGAAACAAAGACAGTAAAACAAGAGGAGGAAGAACAATGCTGAGTATCTTGTTCACCATATCCATCCCTATAATGGAGTTTGTGACTCTCACCACTTTGGTTAGAGATATCTCTTGGATAAAAGGAGTTATATAATGAATTTCCCTCTACCATATAAGGACAAGTGTTCCATCAGAGATTTCTTCTTCTTCTTTTGTAATTAAAGATCTAATTTTAGATAAATAACGAGAAATTATGTGTAATCTTTTTTTATAAAGTTTGAGAGGATTCAACACTATTGCAATCACCGAACTATTTGCATTTATTGAGCCCAACAACCCTAATAAGATCATTATGGACCTCACAACATATATATATATATATATGTGTGTGATAGGGTTTCATTAATCATATGCATTTGAGAGGATTCTACATTATTTTAATTAACCATCTTAGTATTAGCACATCATCACTATGCATTTATTGAACCCAACAACCCTAATAAGATCACTGTGGACCTATCCATAATGACATAGTTGTTGAAGCTCATAAACATTGGTAAAAATACTACCTATCAACAACTACCTTGCACTATACATATATACATATATTATGTATTCACATATTCGTGGCAGGCTAGGGACAGGGTTTCATTAATCATAAGCAGTTTTCTACTCCTAGGCCTGACTCTCCTTAAAATTTATATTTGATCTTTCTATGGATTTTATAAAACGTTTAAAGCTCATGACCCCACGTTGTGGGTCAAGTAGCTAAGGCTAGTGTGCGTGAAAGCCGGATCCAATCAAATCCAGTAATAAATTATATATACATACCCATATGAATCATATGGTACAATCTTATGTAATAATGTATGTTTTTAAAATCAATTTAATTCAATCGATGTAAAGTTTAAAATTAATCATTTTATATAATCGAAATATAAAGGGAATTCAAGATGGCTATCTTTATGTTATCCATCAACTGAAAGTGGATCATTTTAAATTTCGATATAATGAATAAAAAAAATTATGATCTACATTTTTTGAGACAGTCTACGTAGAAACAAGGGTATATTATTGTACAATAATATCTTTATACCAAATTCGATTTTAGTTCATCGATATTTAGCAGACTACTATTTCAAGGACCTTCCATTCGATTGAGCAACAGACAAGTGTTTCTGAAACATTTTCAAACGATATAACTATAGGAAAAAACAGAGACAAATAAAATAAAAGACAAGACATGAATCTAATCTCTGCATGTTTTCTTCTAATCATGTTTGGGTCTAAGCCTCGTGCGTAAACCCAAGAGCCAATCCAGAAACTCGGGGCAAAAGGTCTTCAGCCAGAAGCCGATAGTGACCCACGATGGCTCAGTCACGCATCTCTCCCCGCGACAAACTCCGTCTACTATCCCTCTTGCACAGCTCCTGGCCGACAACAATGGCACGAACCCCCATCCCTCCTGTTTCATTTTTCACAACGTGTCAGGAACAGGACATGAAAAGATTGCGGTGAGAATTCTGCAGCTCACAGCTAAGAACTCGGTTCACAGAAAAGAAACATTGAGAGAGAGAGAACAATATATGCAAATTCGGAGAGAACAGAACGCTTAACCTAGTTGCAGAAGACGGATACCATGGTTGCTTGGGTTACAAGAAACAGTTTAATCCTTTTATTATACTTTGGGAATCTTCCGCATATTTGACATAGAAAATATGTTAAACCCTAAACCCTAAATTTTATAGATATGGTTTTATTTGCCAAGATTATGTTAAAAGAAAGCAAGTCAGTATGTACCTCAACGACGAGTTCGGGAGTTGTCATCTCAGTCTTGATGGCCCCTGGAGTGACGACTGTTATTCCAATTTCGGGTCCGAGCTCGATCCTTAGTGTCTCGTAGAAGTTTATCATCGCAGCCTTTGTTGCCTGAATCGGTTCCACGAGCAATACTCACCACAGACAAGAGAACCAAAAAATGGCAGAAACCCGAAAAGAGGACAAAGCAGATTAAGTAAATTAGGGTTTATATATCATAGGAGCGTTCCTTACGCCATAGACGCTCATCCTTGGAGGAGAAAACCACCCAGAAACACCAGAGGATATTACGACTATTTTCCCTTTGTTTCTCTTGAGATGAGGAACTGCAAAATGTGTGGCGTAGACCGAACCCCAGAAGTTTGTGTTCTGCAATTAAAAAAAAACAACAAACTTTTCAGTTCATCACAACTCCCAAGAACCCTAATTTTGGAGTTTTAGCACGAAATATTGGACGTGTGTTACCATAACAGGAGCAGCATCAGAGATGGAAGAGTAATCTTCGAATGCCTTTCGTTCCGTGATCCCCGCATTGTTCACCAGATGATCCACTGTGTCATCAATAGATAAACCCGTGGATAGCAATGTAACTGACTTTGTCGTGTCCGAACAGCAAAATCTTTCACCAAACCGTGACTCAATCAAGATCGGAACAATGTCGAGGAAAGAAAGAAAAGAATGCAGAATCAGAATCTGGGGGAAAAAATTGCAGAGTTGAGGAGGAAGGAAAGAGATTGCAGAAACAAGAATCAGTTTCTTGGGTGTCAAGAAAACACTAATTGTATACGTCTATTAACATTAGTTCTTAATCAGTTTCTTCTGCTACCGTTGAGATTCAACGATAGAGACATAGTGATTAATATAACTATAGACTCTTCAACTTTAATAAATAATTTTTTTTAGCATTGAATAAACGGTGAAATATCCTTGATGGAAAGTTCAAAGAAACTCACGTTGACCAAAATGATTGATTGTTTCGTCCACGAAACGCTTGCAGTCTTCAACAATAGAGACATCGCCTCTTACGAAAATGACGTCCGGCGAACCAATCCGCCGGGATTCTTCAGCCACCGCCCGGAGACGATCTTCCCTCCGACCAACCAACGTCAGACGCGCCCCTCTCCGCGCGTACTCGTACGTCAGTTCCTACACCAACCCCACAATAATATTAGCGCTTCAATATTATATATTTTAACAAAAAAAATATTCTATATATATATATTGGACGATTCATATGCTGTCCGAGGATGATTTTAATTAGAGTTGATTATTCGATTCTGGTTGGATTATTTTTTATTCGATCTTTAAATATTTTAAAAGATTATATCCATATACAAAGATTTTGGGATGGTTAGATTCCCTTTTCAATAAAATAAATTAATATTTTACTATCACTAAAGAAATTATATTTAATTTTTCCTAATGTTATATCATATTATAAAACATTGTCAGTCTGATTTTGTTTTGGTTTTGTCTACATAATAAAGAACTTAGATACGAATTATGCTCTTGAATCCTTGACAAGATTCAAATCAAGACAATAAATAGTTTTTTTGTGAGATTCGAAATACTTGTTCCCTTTTTTATAGGAAATTTATGGTAATTCACGAGATCACCCCATGTTTTTTTTTTTTTGGGTTAAGATCACCCCATGTTCTATATATAACAGACTTCCATGTTTTGTGCCCTATTTTTTTTTCTGGTAAAAAAAAAAGAAAGAGAACTGACCTCGCCGATGCCGGAGGAAGCTCCGGTGATGAGGATGACTTTTCCGGCGACATCATCAGGGTTTATGAGTCTCTGAATGTAGCGGAAGGTTTTGAAGAAGACTAAAAATGGCGATAACAAAAAATAAACTCATAAAAACAAGAGGAGGAACAGTAACGTTGAGGATCTTGTTGACCGTGTCCATGTCTCCCAATGTTGTTCAGACAGCGAAGAATTTGTTTTGTTTTGTTTTTCTCTTTAAATCGTTAAAAGTAGAGCCGTCGGTGCGCTGTTTTGTAGTGTATTAGCATATAATATTGGAAAAATTGCCACCAGTAAAAATTTATATAATTTTTTCTTTTCTTTGCAAATTATACTTTTTTTTTAATTTTTAACAAAAATACTTTTATTTTATTTTATAATTTTAATATTACTATTAAACATTTCAAAAAAATATACAGCATAAAAAGCGGATTTTAAGGAAACTGTATTATTTGGAAAAATTGTTTTTCATTCGGGACAAATTGTTTTTCAAATTTAAAAAAAAATCGTGTAAATTTTGAAGAGTTGATGAATACATTGAATAGCACTCTCCCTCTCCTCTCCTGCATGCTTAATTTCTTTTAAAAGTCGGTTATTGAAAACTTTTTCGATTATTTTGGATTTAGATAAAAACTTTTATTTAAAAAACATATCTATATATTTTAAATTTTTATACAATATTATCGATTTGATTTGGCATTACCGTAACGAAATGGCAACCTACAAATCCATCGGAATCTTGGCATGTTTTTTCCCTGTGGTAATAAATCCTGACATGATGTCTCGTGTGATGCTTTTGTCGTTTTCTCTAAAAGTTTAGAAATTTGAATTATTAGAGGTGATATTTTTTGTTGGCAATTTTGGGTATGCCTCATATGCGTGTTAGGTATATATAAATATAATTAGTTATAAATAAACATAAAATTATTTTAAGATAAATCAAACATATATTAAAACGTTCTTATCTAATTGAATATTGAATTTATTTTTCCAAACTTACTACAATTTCCATATAAGTTCGTACACATACAAAGTCACAAGATTCCAACGAAGTTCGGAAAATATAATTTCTTTTTCAACTAAAATAAAAATGCATATCATCATCATCACCATATTAAATACTATCATTTTAGTCTGCATCAACGATCTGTCATTCATTATTTTCGTCATTAATAATGACCCATGATTTTGATGTGATGGTACAAAAAGAGAAATCACGAGAAGAAAATTGAACCATAAATCAAATCAAAATCCAAACGGGCATTTCTTTTTTTTCTTTTTTTTCTAGTAACGTTTTGGACTAGGGTTCATGTTCAAACGGCCGTACCATTCCGTCAGCTCAGGGCAAAGAGCCATCAACCAGAACGAGACAGCGTACCACTTCGGCTCCGTCACGAATCTCTCCCGCCGGCAAACTCCCTCGACTATTCCTCTCGCACAGCTCCTCGCCGACGTCAATGGCAGCCATGCCCACCCTTCCTGTTCATTTCCACATACGTAATTTTTTTTTTTGGCATGTCAAGATCCGGTTGGGTCCCAAGAAACAGTTATATGTTTTGCGTTCTTGTTCTTGATTGTGTATAAACAACAATGGAATTATGCATGTGTTTCTTCTGTTGTATCTAAAACTATGAATCCATTTTAAGAAATGAGACCAAGCGATTTCTCGCAAAACATGCTTTTTAATAGCTTTTCTGTTTCGATTTGATATTTGTGGGGTCCCTTTGGAATGATTTGTCAAGAAACGTGAAGAATATTAGAAAAAATCGTCAAGAGATATAAAAAAAATTGACAAGATTGTAATAATATTACGTGATATTTAGATTTGATATTATTTTTGTATTTTAGATATTTATATTGATTATTTTGTTTATATATATAAATATTATATTAATATTTTATGTTAAATAATGAAAAATCCAACAATTTTATTATGGTTTGCTCGGTTTTATAGAAATTGTATCAAATTAGAATTGAATGTTAATTGGTTTGGTTCAAAGTGACTTTGCTCTATGAATACCAAACAAGAATTTAAATTTGATATTCACACATAAGTTTCGTATATAAGCATTAATAATTCGGATTTTAATTCGATATTTATCGAGACCGGTTAAGGAATGATTAATTTGTTCAATTTTAAAAAACAATTGTACCAAATTCGGCTCGTACCGGTTCTTAGTTTACGAATGATGGGAACTTACAGCGGCAACCATTTCAGGAGTCACCATATCTGTCTGGATGAGCCCAGGATTGACGACTGTCACTGTGATTTCACGTCCGAGTTCGACCCTTAGCGCCTCGTAGAAGTTTATCATCGCTGCCTTTGCTGCCTGAATCGTTTTCACCCGTCATTGAGAGTAAGGAAAAAAAAGAAGATTAAGCAAAAAAAAAAAACATGCTTTAGGTTTAGGGTTTATATCAATTCTACATAAAAAGTGAAACCTTACAACATAGAAGCTCAAATACGGAGGTGAAAGCCACACTGAGACGGAGGATATGGCAATGATCTTCCCTCTACTCCTCTTTAGGTAGGGTACCGCAAAATGCGTGACGTATACCGATCCCCAAAAGTTAATGTTCTACAATTTCAACCACCGAGTTTATAAGAATTAATTAGCTTTGATATATATATATATATATAGGCGAATGAACATATTGATTGTGATGTGTACCATAACACGAGAAGCATCAGTGATGCAAGAGTAATCTTCGAATGCCTTCAGTTCTGAAATTCCGGCATTGTTCACCAGATGATCCACTGCCTCATTCCCACACATACATATATATATATATATATATCAGACCGATCCAGTAAAAGAATACAAGATTATGAATATTGATCCCAAATCATTTTGACGTACCAAGAATTAAAACTAGAAAATGAAATTTGTTTCCTTTTTTTTTTTGTTAAAAAATGAAATCTGTTTCTTTCTTGATGTATAGAAACTAATTTTTTTTAAAAAATGGGACCTTTTTCCTGTACGTATAATTAGAGAGAGAGATTTACAAAACATAATTTCTCCTAGGGATGAAATTTTAAAGCATCGAATCGAATAATTTTGCTGAATATCACAATATATTTTAGGAGAAATAATTAATTACTCACGTCGACCAAAATGATTGATCGTTTCTTGGACGAAACGCTTACAATCTTCAACATTAGAAACGTCGCCGCTTATGACAACGACGTCCGGCGAACCTAACCGCCGGGATTTTTCAGCCACCGCCCGGAGACGATCCTCCCTCCGAGCAACCAATGCCAGACGCGCTCCTCTACGCGCGTACTCGTACGCGATATGCTACACGTACCCAATATATCAAAATCTTAGACTATACATATGTTTGTATGTGTGTGTGTGTACACTAGGCTAACAGAGCTCAAATTTCAAACATCCTTGAAAGGAAGAGGACTGACCTCGCCGATGCCGGAGGAAGCTCCGGTGACGAGGATAACTTTTCCGGCGACATTCTCGGCGTTGAAATATCTCCGTACGAGGTGGAGGAGCTTGAAGAGGATTAACAATGGTGATAACAAAAAAAGTAAAATAAAAAACAAAGGAGGGACGACAATGCTAAGGATCTTGCCGGTCAACTCCATGCCTCGCAGGGTTTTTTTTCTCTAATGGATAAGAAAATCATCCAGGACTTATAAATATCAAAATATGCGAGTTTGTATACGTATGCGTGGGTAATAATAATTAACCACGTTTCAATTATTTTCCACGAAAACAAAATCGTTATTTAAGATTATGGATGATTATTTTTTATTATATTGTTTAAACTGCAGACTTATGCGGATGGAACATTCCAACTTCGCATTGTTTTAAATATTTTTGACGTTTAACTTGTTAGATTTTAGGGAATTTAATGATATTTTTCTACACGAATTTAGTGAGATGTGATGTGACTTTTTTATACGCATATTTTTAATTTGATTAAAAACTATAATTAAATTTAAAATTTTCCAAATGTCTACACGAGTTGTTAAAATTAACAGTAATTACATATATAATCATCATTTTCGTTAAACTTTTTCGAACTCTGTTAACTAATGCGCTGACGCGTATGATAATTATACTAATTATCTAATTAATACGTTAGTTAACAGAATCTAAAAAAAATAATGAAAATGATGATTATGTATATAATTACTATTAATTTTAATAATTTGTGCAGATATTTAAGAAATTTTGAATTCAAATATAGTTTTTTGTTAAATTAAAAATATATGTAGGAAAAGATCACATTTGTCTAAATTTGCGTAGATAAATATCATTTTTCCCATATTTTATTGATTCCTTATACTTTTGTTGTTTATACTTTGTATATATATATAATCAATGGTTCTTTGACTAAAAGCGATTACGCATGTTTTTGTAGTATTTTTTTTTCTGCCAACTCGTGAAATCTTAGTGTGGCTTTGGTTGACTACCCGCTTTTTTTTAATTTATATATACCCGATCTGGTTTTCGTTTTGACATATTTTATATAAGAAATATCTCAATATTTATCTCGCGGAACCGAATATCTATAGATCGTGTGTACGTGATTGAGAGTCGGATACTTGCGAATATCTATAGATCCTGTGTACGTGATTGAGAGTCGGATACTTGCGAATATCTGCATCAGTATGAACAAAATTTTCAAATCTAAAAATAAATCAAATATTCATAAAATTATACACCATTTGATCCAAAAATACATTAAAAGTCTAAAAGTTCATATATCTTCGAATATTTATAGATCGATATAAGTTTTTTCAAACACATTGATTTTTATAATTACGATTTAGGTATTTGTGTAAATAACTGGAAGAAATTCAAAAGAATTTTGGTCTTTTTATATATTTACCGATATTCTCGGATAACCCATATTGAAAACTAAAACACAAATTCAAATTCGTTGTACGGATTTTTATTTTTTATTTTATATGTTTTCTGCATTTAAGAAACAGCTCACGCGCATTAAAGGAGATCTTTTATTTTTCCCGAAATGTGACAATTTTGTGGTTGGGCAGATCAACTACTCTTGCGAATTGAAGAAGTGCATTAAAGAAAAATAAATAAATACATTGAAAATATTTAGAGGAACTCCTTTTACAGTCTTTGAATTTTTATACGAATATCGGTTATGATATTTTGATTTTACGTCCGTGAAAATTATTTCACTTGCTCTACCACTAGGTTCGGGGACCATGCTTGTTTGGCGTTCGAATATTGCGCTACCACTTGCTCTTAAATATAAATATGCATATTGGGCCGACCCTAACCAAAAGTCCTGGACTATTTATTAAAAAAGAATGTTATAAATAAAATGATTAGTAAGGAACAAAATCATTTGTGGGGATTTCTTAGTCACGTTTGGGCCTAGGGCTCAAGATGAAACGATAAAACATGTCCATAAGGTCAGGGCAAAGCGTCTTCACCCAGAAGGAGACACCGAACCACGACGGCTCCGTCACGAATCTCTGCCGGCGACAAACTCCGTCGACTATTCCTCTCGCACATCTCCCCGCAGACATCGCCGGAAAAAACGCCAACCCTCTCTGTTCCCACCATGCAATTTGCTTGTTAGAAGAAGAAAAAAAATACCACGTACAAGATCCGGACCAAAATTGTTGTAATCATAGAAAGTCTATTTTTTTTGTTTTATATTAAACTCGGGTTGGTTTGGTTTAGTCTGGTTCGATTGTATTCAGATAGGATTTAGTTTGGTTTCGGTTTTCACACAAAATACTCATTTTTTTTAAAAAAACACGATTTTTCAGTTTATTCGGTTTGGGTTCAATTTTATCATAACAATTTGGGGTTTACATTAGATTCGGTTTGGATATAGTTATGTTTTATTTGGTTCAAATGGATTTGGTTATTAATCAAACAAGTCAGCATTAATGGATCTAGAAAAATTTATAAATAGGGTCAATAATATTAATGTACGACAAATTTAGTTTTATCAGGGGAGTATTTATCAATTTTAATTGAAATTTTATAAAATTTATAAAAACTAAAAATTTTAATTAAATAAACGAGGCATGTGAATATATATATTGAACATGTATGTTTCTTTCGAAATGAAATTAATCGAGAGATATTTTCATGTCGATCTAGCTAGTTTCCGGACAGTTTTGGTATCGTACCATGGCGCCAAGAAGTTCCGGATTGACAATTTCCGTCTTGATGAGCCCTGGAGTGACGATCGTTATTCCGATCTCGGGTCCAATCTCGATCCTCAGTGTCTCGTAGAAGTTTATCATCGCCGCCTTTGACGCCTAATTCGTCTTCCATGACAAATGTTAGAAGAGAAAGGTATTGAAGAAAAACGGCGTTAGGGTTTTATAACATATGATCCTCTTACACCATAGATGCTCAAATATGGAGGCGAAGACCATCCGGCGATGGAGGATACGACGGCTATCTTCCCATTAGTCCTCTTTAGGTGAGGAATGGCGAAATGTGTTGCGTGGACCGACCCCCAGAAGTTGGTGTTCTGTAATATTAATCGATCACTAGCAATTTCGTTAGGGATTTTTTGTAACGTTTTGAGCTCAAACTATATAAATTTAATTTAATATATAGACTTTGTGTACGTACCATAACACGAGCAGCAGCTTCAGAGATGTTTGAGTAATCTTCGAACATTTTCAAATCAACTATTCCCGCGTTGTTCACCAAATGGTCCACTGTTGGAATGGAACCAAGATTTCGTTTTAGAATTATGAATTAAGAGCTGTATATATAAACCCTAATGAAATTTCACCTGGAAATGATTTCTTTGACATCGAATCAAAATATATATTAAATATATATATTACGTGGGAACATACTCACGTTGACCAAAATGATTGATTGTTTCTTGTACGAATCGCTTACAGTCTTCAACGACGGAGACATCACCGTATATGACGACGACGTCCGGCGATCCGAGCTGCCGGGATTTTTCGGCCACCGCCCGGAGACGATCCTCTCTCCGAGCAACCAGCGTTATACGCGCCCCTCTACGCGCGTACTCGTACGCGAGTTCCTATACCAAGCCAAGGTATTATTAAAACTTAGAAAAATCTCATAAAAATACCTGAATTTTATAAAATGTATCCAATATATATATCAATTTTTAATTTAACAAATAATTACATCGAATATTAAAATGTATCAAAACTTCAACTCAACTCTTAAAATCTTTAAATTAATTTCATACACAGTTTTTAACTATATCATCGATAATTTTATTTAAATTATTCGAAATTATTTTATATACATATTTTAACGAATCCTAATATTATTTATTCGATAATAATTTTATATTTGTACCTGTTAACGTGTAAAAAATTGTTTTTGATTTCAAGAATTGAGATACTTTTTTATACATTTTAATATTTAATATATTTATTTATCGAATTAAAAATTGATATATATATATATATATATATATATATATATATATATATATATTTTCTACACATCTTT